CCCAAGAGGCCTCCAAGAGGCCCCCCAGAGGCCCCCAAGAGGCCCCAAGAGGCCCCAAAGAGGCCCCCAAGAGGCCCCCAAGAGGCCCCACGAGGCCCCAAGAGACCCCCAAGAGGCCCCCAAGAGGCCCCAAAGAGGCCCCCAAGAGGCCCCACGAGGCTCCAAGAGGCCCCCAAGGGGCCCCACGAGGAGCCCGAACGACTCACACCAGGACGAGGGGCCCGAACGACTCACACCACGAAGAGCCCGAACGACTCACACCAGAAGGAGGGGCCCGAACGACCCACACCAGGACGAGGCGCCCGAACGACTCACACCACGAGGAGCCCGAACGACTCACACCACGACGAGGGCCCCGAACGACTCACACCACGAGGAGCCCGAACGAGTCACACCAGGAGGAGGGGCCCGAACGACTCACACCAGGACGAGGGGCCCGAACAACTCACACCACGAGAAGCCCGAACGACTCACACCAGGACGAAGAGCCCGAACGACTCACACCACGAAGAGCCCGAACGACTCACACCAGGAAGAAGGGCCCGAACGACTCACACCAGGACGAGAAGCCCGAACGACTCAAACCACGAGGAGCGCTTTCTCTCCCTCCTCCTCCGCCTCGTCCTTCTCCCGCTCCCACCACAAGGAGGATGTACAAGGAGGCGGGAGGAAGGAGGAACAGGGGAGATATGCGGGGGCAGGCGGAAACACGCCTGAAAAACACGACTGTCGGCATGCTTCGCAAGAGTTGCTGTTTTGAGATGGGCTGGTGGGGATACGCGAAGCGTGAAGAATTTATAAGTTTTCGTGCCTCTCCCACCCCTCCAGGGAGGCCCAGCCTGAGCAAGCAAGGTATTCGAACACCATGTTATGTATCAGGTTTCGTGCCCCTCCCACCTCTCCAGGGAGGCCCCGCCTGAGCGAGCAGGGTATTCGCACACCATGTTATTTATCAGGTTTCGTGCCCCTCCCACCCCTCCAGGGGGGCCCCGCCTGAGCGAGCAGGGTATTCGCACACCATATTATGTATCAGGTTTCGTGCCCCTCCCACCCCTCCAGGGAGGCCCCGCCTGAGCGAGCAGGGTATTCGCACACCATGTTATTTATCAGATTTCGTGCCCCTCCCACCCCTCCAGGGAGGACCCGCCTGAGCGGGCAGGGTATTCGCACACCATGTTATTTATCAGGTTTCGTGCGCCTCCCACTCCTCCAGAGGGGCAGGGTATTCGCACACAATGTTATTTATCAGGTTTCGTGCCCCTCCCACCCCTCCAGGGAGGCCCCGCCTGAGCGAGCAGGGTATTCGCACACAATGTTATTTATCAGGTTTCGTGCCCCTCCCACCCCTCCAGGGGGGGCCGCCTGAGCGAGCAGGGTATTCGCAGACCATGTTATTTATCAGGTGTCGTGCCCCTCCCACCCCTCCAGGGAGGCCCCGCCTGAGCGAGCAGGGTATTCGCACACCATGGTATTTATCAGGTTTCGTGCCCCTCCCACCCCTCCAGGGAGGCCCCGCCTGAGCGGGCAGGGTATTCGCACACCATGTTATTTATCAGGTTTCGTGCCCCTCCCACCCCTCCAGAGGGGCCCCGCCTGAGCGAGCAGGGTATTCGCACACCATGTTATTTATCAGGTTTCGTGCCCCTCCCACCCCTCCAGGGGGGCCCCGCCTGAGCGAGCAGGGTATTCGCACACCATGTTATTTATCAGGTTTCGTGCCCCTCCCACCTCTCCAGGGAGGCCCCGCCTGAGCGAGCAGGGTATTCGCACACCATGTTATTTATCAGGTTTCGTGCCCCTCCCACCCCTCCAGGGAGGCCCCGCCTGAGCGAGCAGGGTATTCGCACACCATGATATTTATCAGGTTTCCTGCCCCACCCATCCCTCCAGGGAGGCCCCGCCTGAGCGAGCAGGGTATTCGCACACCATGCTATTTATCAGGTTTCGTGCCCCTCCCACCCCTCCAGGGAGGCCCCACCAGAGCGGGAAGGGTGTTCGCACACCATGTTATTTATCAGGTATCCTGCCCATCCCACCCCTCCAGGGAGGCCCCGCCTGAGCGAGCAGGGTATTCGCACACCATGTTATTTATAAGTTTTCGTGCCTCTCCCACCCCTCCAGGGAGGCCCAGCCTGAGCAAGCAAGGTATTCGCACACCATGTTATTTATCAGGTTTCGTGCCCCTCCCACCCCTCCAGGGAGGCCCCGCCTGAGCGAGCAGGGTATTCGCACACCATGTTATTTATCAGGTTTCGTGCCCCTCCCACCCCTCCAGGGAGGCCCCACCAGAGCGGGCAGGGTATTCGCACACCATATTATTTATCAGGTTTCGTGCCCCTCCACCCCTCCAGGGAGGCCCCACCAGAGCGGGCAGGGTATCCGCACACCATGTTATTTATCAGGTTTCGCGCCCCTCCCAACATTCCAGGGAGGCCCCGCCAGAGCGGGCAGGGTATTCGCACACCATATGATTTATCAGGTTTCATGCCCCTCCCACCCCTCCAGGGAGGCCCCACCAGAGCGGGCAGGGCATTCGCACACCATATTATTTATCAGGTTTCGTGCCCCTCCCGCCACTCCAGGGAGGCCCCGCCTGAGCGGGCAGGGTATTCGCACGCCATAGTTTATTATTAGGTTTCGTGCCGTTCCCGCCCCTCCAGGGAGGCCCCACCAGAGCGGGCAGGGCATTCGCACACCATGTTATTTATCAGGTGTCGTGCCCCTCCCACCCCTCCAGGGAGGCCCCACCAGAGCGGGCAGGGTATCCGTACACCATATTATTTATCAGGTTTCGTGCCCCTCCCACCCCTCCAGGGAGGCCCCACCAGAGCGCAGACAAGAAGCAATGGAACCCCGTATCATCTTTATGTGGGGAACTCCGTTAGCATAATTTTGAACAGCGGCGCGTACGATCCTGAACTGAACAAAAAGGCAAATGATGGTGCTGATGGTGATGGTGGTCATCATCATTGCATGCCATCTCTCTTTATAAATATATGTGTATGTGTATATGTGTGTATATGTCTGTACATATATGCGCTTCAAATTCGCCGGCCCAACGGGCCAGAGGTGTTCTAAGATCTCCGGTAGCAGGTGAACAGTATTTCTAGTTTGCGCGCGCGTGGCGGCCCCTGGGGACCCCTGTAAGAGAAGGACCCCGGCCGATGCCCGGGCGATGCCCGGCTGACTCCCCCAAGGCGCTCCCAGGAGCGCGCCAAGAGGGCGCCAGGACGCCCCCTAGACGGTCCAGAGGGCCCCGAGTCGCCGAAAGATCGTTCCGAGGGCCCCAAGAGGCGCCCAAGACGGTCCAAGTCGTCGAACGATCGGTGGCTTCCAGACGGCCCACGACGCGTACAAGACCCTCGAAGAGGGCACCAAGGGGCCTGCCAAGATAGCCCCAAGAGGGCCCCGAGAGGCCAACATCGTCAATTTTACGATAGTGTTTGAAAGACTTTAGCCTTCTCGCCTTTTCGGCCCTCCAACGCTCCAAGACGGCCCAAGAGGCTCCCAAGACCACCCCAAGACGGCCCAAGAAGCCTTCAAGAGGGCCCCTCAACGGCCCAAGATGGCCCCAAGACAGCTCAAGAGGCGCCCAAGACGGCCCAAGAGGGTCCCAAAACGGCCCCAAGAGGGGCCCAAGAAGGGGACCAGCAACCGGAAAGTCAGCCTTCAGCCCCAAGAGGCCCACAGGAAGCCTCAAGAGGCCCCCAGGAGGCCCCAAGGGGCCCCCAGGAGGCCTCAAGGGGCCCCCAAGAGGCACCCCAAGAAGCCCCAAGAGGTCCCAAGAGGTCCCCAAGAGGTCACAAGACGGCCCCCAAGAGGCCTCAAAACTGCCTCCCAGAGGCCCCCGAGAGGCCAACCACGAGAGGCCAACCAACATCCATGAGGCTTCTGACCCAACGTTGGCGGGATGGGCTGAAGGTCAATAGAAAATTAGACACCCCCCACCCAGCAGCACCGCATTGGCAGCGCTCGGGCAAGTGGCAGCACTCCAATTGGCACGCACCGCCTTCGAAAAATGGCAGCCGCTTACCGGCACCAACCACATTGACAACAACACCCCGACAAACGACAGCGGCGAGGCAACATGGGCCGGCGGAATGAGCGAAGCGATTAAATAACAGGGAAGCAGAGACTGATACGGTTTGCTGAGGAGCGGCGAGACATTGTCAGGGGATGATGAAGGAAAGGCCACTAGCCAGACACCCAAATCTAGAACCCAACCGCCCAAAATCAATGAGCAGAGCTTGGGAGCCCGGCCACAAAAGAAACTGTGGCGTCAAAGGAGGTTACTATACATCACCACCGCCGTGCCTGGTCAGGGTCATCCTGCGCCTGAAGATTGCCTACACGCCATCCTTGCCTCGGCAAAGGGGGCGTATACTTTGATCCTGAGCCTGGGGGATCGGCCTTGCCAGAATCCCCAGACATCCATTTTTATGATCAAGCCGCGTGCCCCAGAAGTCTCGACCCCGTCCCAAGGGGCAGCATTTCCTCTCGGAGCCATCTCTGATTGTCCCAGGGCCCGAGAATGCCACCGCAAGCAGAAGTCGGGCAGAGCGCCGCGGCTGAGAAGATCAATCCGTTGGAGGTCCGTGTCGGTGTAAGGAGGCCGATGCGGCCGGACCTATCAAAGACATGCGGCTCTCCGCAGGCCAAACTGAAGAACATTCGTGGGCACCTCCCCCCCCGGATGCCCCAGAGCACAAGAGCATCCTGCAAGCACGGAGAACATGAGGCATCCTCCCCGGATGCTATACTCGGGCCGGGCGAAAGGGGGGGGATAGCAAAGGGGGGGGGTGAAAATCAGCTCACGTAGCTGCTTTTCCCTGCGCCTCCCGGCGCGGGAGGCGGCTATGTATCGAAGAATGGGCCCCTCGGTGGGGCCGAAACCAGCTGCATGCAGCAGATTTCGTAAACACCCCTTTCCCAATCCCCCCCCCCTTTCGTCCGGCCCCATATACATCGGTCCGACCGTACGGTTGGCGTCCCCCGACCACCTCTATGTTCGCCTGCATCGCGTCCACCAGCCGCTGCCGGTCCCGCTCGAAGCGGGCGCGGTCCTCCGCCCGGCACTTCACGATGGAGGCCGTGAGCCCCAGCACCCGGACGCGCGCGTGGGGCCTCCGCCTCTCGCCCTGGCGGGCCGCGATCGTGCCACTGCCCATGCCATCGCGGTCTGACCACCTCCCTCCTCCTCCCTCCTCCTCCTCTCTACTCCCCCCTCCTCCTCCCCCTCCCTCCTCCTCCTCCCCCCCTCCTCCTCCTCCTCCTCCTCCTCCTCCTCCTCCTCCTCCTCCTCCTCCTCCTCCCTCCTCCTCTTCCTTCCTCTTCCTCCTCCTCCGCCGCCTCCTCATCCTCCTCCTCCTCCTCCTCCTCCTCCTGCTCCTCCTCCTCCTCCTCCTCCTCCTCCTCTGACCACCTCCCTGGACACGCCGCGCGCGGGGCATCCGCGCAACGCCGCCGTGCGTCCACGGGGTCGCGGCCGAGGCCGGAGCGCGAGGAAGAGCACACGGAGGCGCGTTCCCGCTCGCGGCGTCCTGTGGGTCCCAGTGCAGGAGCGCCATCAGCGCCGCCATGTCCGACTTGCCAGACACGTGGTGGCACTCGTCCACCACGAAGAGGGAGAACTCTTCTACGCGGAGGAACGCGGTGTCGATGAGAGCCTTCCGGAAAATCTCAGGGGTGCCTGCAAAGGACTAGAAGACTCCACAAACATAAGCTTTCGGAGATTCGCATGGACTTCTTGGGTCGGAGCTGGTTCCCCCTTCCACCCCACACCCCTTCCCTTGCGCCTCTGGTGCCTGTGGCAGCGCCAGGGGCGACAGCAGGGGTGAGGGGGAGGGGGCTCTAGACTCTAGCGCCGACGCAACAGATCCGCACGGACCTCCGAAAATCCAGGGTCAGGCATTGTATTCTCGTTCGGCCTACGAAGACATCGTATCGACTTCTGCAATCGTCCCACTCGCGCTTGCCCCACTTACTGGCCGTGTACCCGGTCACTTCTACGACCCGAGCCTGGCGCCCGAGGTCGCCGACCTGCGGCGAAGCGAAGAAGTCCGAGGCGCGGTCAGCCTGCTGGTGCGCCAGCAGCCTGGACGGCGCCATGATCGCGACCTGAGCGGCCATCAAAAACGGGTCTTACGCGAGATGGCGCAGCGACCTCACGCGGCAGCCTACGCGGGCCGCCAGCGCGGCAGGTTACTTTGGGAACGAGCTTGCGCGGGATGCTCACGCGCCAACGTCGGTGACGACGACCCCGTTTTCTTTCGTCGCTCACCTTTCTTGTGGCTGACTGAAAATGTGGTGGAAACTGGATACCGTCAACGCCCTGTTCCTGGGGCACCCTTCACGCAGGCACGCGCCCACAGCAGCGCCGAAGCTCTACTGCTGACCCAAGCTGGGGCAAGAGCTCTGCCTGGCATTCGTAGGCTTCGCCATGCAGAGAAGAGCGGCGGGGCCTCACCTACCGCGGCGCCCGGCGCCCGGGAAGGAGAGGGGAAGCAGGAAGCCCCCGATGGCCCAGCTGCGGCCAGAGGCACAAGGAACGCCAATTGAAGACCCACGCAAGGGCCTGGAAAGCACCGAACACCTTACAACATCAGAACGGACCGCATCTTAAAGACTTTGCCACAAGACTGGTAGACAAAGACCGGTCTCAAAAGTGCTGTCAACTCTGAAGGACGCATGCTTTACTTCCGACGGCTTCAGACAACATCCCGCCAGCTTGCGACGAACGAGCCACCCGCGGATCTCCATCATGATCGGCCACCTACCTGAGAGCTGGCATGTTTATCCAGCCCCCGGGTAGTTGGCCGATTTTGATGGGGAGGAGGAGGAGGAGGAGGAGGAGGAGGAGGAGGAGGAGGAGGAGGAGGAGGATAGGACAGGATAGGACTCGGCGATGAACGTGTAGGAAGTGGCATGGAGCACGCTGCTGTGAGACGCTCGTGCGAAGCTCCTACCTCACTTCATTGCATATCTACAGTGCGAGGTGCAGGGGAAGAAGGGGGAGAAGGAGTAGGAAGAGGAGATAGACCCTCTCTCCTGTCCCAGCGCTTCACTGGTCCCTAGTTGCTCAGTCAAGACCCCCGGACAGTCATGGAGGTCTCTGGAGTCGCTTTAGGTCCCCGTGCGCCTGTGCACGGGGGAACACTCTCCTGGAGCCGCCACTGCACGCAATGGCGAGGGGCTGGGCCATCCTGGGGCCCGGACCTGGCCAAGATCGCAACTTTTCCATGACACTCCGAGGACAGCCAGCCTATTCTGATCCAAACCATGTACAATCACGAGCTGCAGTGGCAACGATGCTCGGCTCAAGTGCGATAAAACAGCTGTGATTAAACAAACACTGCTCGAATGCGATCACACTTGAGCAAAGCACCGTCGACCCTCTCTCTTGCCCGCAGCCGCGGAAGGCCGCGAGCAAGACGAAGAGGAGCGGTAGTAACGATCGCGCCACACGCTCAGGCAACCACGCGAGAACCCCGGTCCTGCACCTCAGATTTCTGAAACGCCGTCTGCGGTTCAAGGGGAAACGAAGAGGTACCGATACCGCTACTCTCCCAGGATGCGCTCTGACCAACATTTCGAGGAGAATACAACGGTGGCGACGAGGGCCTCCCTCAAGGCTCAAACAAGGGAAAACGAGGGAAGGATAGCTGTATCGGTACATGTTCCTCCATTGAGCTCAGCGTGCGAAGGAAGCCTTACAGCTGGGTGAACCGTACCGGGGGTGCCTGATGCCCGAAGCGTATCCGTGCGACGACGACGACGCCGACGACGCCGCGTCGACGCGGCGCAAGCCGCGGCCGTGGCTTCTCGACATCGTCGTCGCCGACGTCGACGTCGACGTTTACGTCGTCGTCGTCGTCGTCGTCGTCGTCGTCGTCGTCGTCGCGGAACGCTCGGCTGGCCAAGGCCTTCCCGGTTGCCAGCGCGCCCTGTGCGGCCAGCAGGGCGACCAGCGTCTTGCCAGCGCCTGTCTCGGCGCTGACGATGATATTCTCGCGGAGGGCCCTCTCGGCCGCCTGAAGACGAGGCCAGGTCGAGGATAAAATCAGGTGAGGATAAATCGAGGACCTCTGAGATCTGGCGGCTCTGGAGGATGTCTCGGGCGCTGCGGCCTTCTCAGAGCGTTCCGGAACGCTCTGAGAGCCTGCCGGAACGCTCTGGGACTGATTCATCCCCGTCCCAGCCCCGCTCGACGCCTGCTGCTGCCACGGGTGCGGACTCGGACGGGCCCGCGGGGAGAGGCGCGGCGAGGCCATGCTGTTGCCGGAGTGGGGCGGCGTCGCGATGCCGCGAGGCAGCGGGCTGTGCGGCGGTGGCGCGTTGCAATGGGGCAGCGGGCTGGGCGGGCTCGCGGAAGCCACGCCATCAGGTGGGGCGAAAACAATCTTGACAAGCCGCCGTGGGGGAGGATGATGATGATGATGATGATGATGATGATGATGATGATGATGATGAGGAGGAGGAGGAGGAGGAGGAGGAGGAGGAGGAGGAGGAGGAGGAGGAGGAGGAGGAGGAGGAGGAGGAGGAGGAGGAGGAGGACCAGCGTGTTGCTGCTGAAGGAGTGGCAGGTTTTCGGACAGAAGCGAAGGAGCAACCACGCCGGCGGGCTCCCGAGGGCTGCGAGCCAGTGATGCTCGTCTGCCGCCCAGACTCCATCAATCGAACCGCTCGGGCCCGATGGGCGGCGAAGGAGAGCGGGCCTTCCGCAAGACGACGCGGCACTGGCCATCGCTCGGACGTCCATTCCCTGTGCTTTTTGTCGGTTTCGTGCGTGGTCTGTCTCGCAGGATGATCCAGGATGCTCCCTAATAGTCCCCGCCGAGAAAAAGTGCACACGTCCGAGCGATACCAGGGGCAGGGCCATGAAACAACAGAGGGCGCCCGTGCGCGACCTTGCGCGGGCAGGCTAAGCGCCAATGTCCCCGCGGTGGACCCCGCTTCCACGTGCTGCGCAGGCGGCTGCGGGTGCTGCGCTGTGCCCTACGACGGTCGAAGGTTGCAGATTTCGACGCTCGGGCCCCTCCTTCCGCCCGCGGAGGCCTGCAGGAGCCTCTGAGGGCCCGCGGAGGCCGCTGGGGGGCCAGGGCTGGGGCGGGGATACCGCTCACGAGCAGCATGGCCCTCCGCTCCCACACCTCGTCCTCGACTTCGTCGTCGCCGTCGCCCTCCTCCCGTGAGTAGGAACGTCCACAGCACCCAGCAGAATTCGAAAACATATATATGTATATGTTTACACATATACATATACGTATATTTATATATAGATATATACAGATGTATGTCACGGATGCTCGATCATTCCGCCCCCGCTGCAAACTTCAGCTCCGTCCTACACTTCCGCCCGATTCGGAGGTCAATCCGTTCACCCCCCAGAAGTTTGGACCCTCAGACTGACGCCTACCGGACAAGAGCGGGCAGCGTCACTCAAGGAAAGAGGGGGCATGCGGACGAGGATGAGACGGATCCGAAGGAGAACAGCGCGGAGGACGAGATGCAGGCGAGGAGGGCCAGGAGGACTACGACGCGACGACGAGGGAGACGAGCACGAGGGAGAGGAGTAAGGCAATCATAACGAGCACGGAGAGAAGGAGAAGGACGGCAAGATCGACGAGGAGGCGTAGGAGGACGGCAGCGTGGGAGACAGCGTTGATGAGGAGGGGGAGAGCGCGGAGAACAAGGAGAAGGACGGGGCCGTCGAGAATGAGGACGACATGGAGGGCGAGAAGGACCAGGCGAGAGAGGACGAGGACGACGGGGAGGACGACTAGGAGAAGGGCGAAATGAGGGCACAGCTTGGAGGACAATGCGAAGGACAGTGAGGAGGAGGAGGAGGAGGAGGAGGAGGAGGAGGAGGACGACGACGACGACGACGACGAAGAGAAGAGGAGCGAGGAACACACGACGGACTTGGAATAAGTGAGTGCACGTGGTACTTGTCGGGGCTATGATGGGCGATGGGGACTGCCATGAGCGTCTGAGGCACTCTTCGAGCCTCTGTGGGGATTCTTGAAGCCTATTGGGCGCTTCTTGGGAGCCTGTCGGTGTCCTGCGGAGACGTTTGGGTCTTTTTGGACTATCTGGGCGTGCCATGGTGAGCCTTGAAAGCTCTCTCTGGGCCGTCTGGGCGCCCCCTTGGGCCGGCTTTTGGCTCGCTTTGGCTATCTCGGGGGCCTGCGTCTGGAAACGGCCCTTGAGGCTGAAATCCGCCACCGTGCATCGAGGCATTAAGTGGGGTGGCCTCAGGCCCTCAAGCGTCCTCACTCTCCACTGCTCCCAAAACAGTGCTTGCACTTCGGGGTGCTTACTTCTGTTCTGAGGAACTGGGCCAGCGTGGCGGTCTGACGGCCATTTGGTCGCCGTCGCCGCCCCGCAGCCGCCTCGTCGCCGCCTGTCGCCTGTACCACTAGTGTGGTCTGGCGGCTATGTTGTCGCCGCCGCCGCCCCGCCGCCGCCTCGTCGCCGCTGGTCGTCTGAGCCAGTGTGTCTCTCTGGCGGCTATGTTGTTGACGCCCCGCCGCCCCGCCGCCGCCTCGTCGCCGCTCGTCGTCTTGGCCGGTGCGGCGGT